GAGCTTGGTGCAGGCGCTGCCGAAGTGAGGTGTCCAGCGCGAGGCGGGCCGGCAGAGCCCGCTGCGCGCATCAGCCTGCCGCTGCAAAGCCGGGGGAAAACACCCGAGCAAAACAGCCAAGTAAAGGAGAGGAAAAACACCCCAACCATTGATTAAACAATAACATTAAATGGCAGTATATGATCTCGTTTATTGCTGTAATAGGTCGTGTTTTTCCGTGACTAAGGCTGCACTGCAATTTCTAAGGCCATCAGCGGTACCCGAACATTAGCTGGGATGAATAATTAACAATAATTTCATGGCAAATGCACTCGCAAGTAACATTAACACTGAATATGCAGCTTGATCTGTTACTGGTTTCACTTTATTTAGAGGGTGTGATTATTATTTCTCCGTAAGCACAGAAAGCCCCGTTGCCTCTGCTGCTAAGAAAACAGCAAGAGGGGAAAATGCTGCCGTCGCGGCCGAGGGGCTTCCCGAGCACCGGTCGCTGCAGCTCCTGCCCCTTTGCAGCACGTCAGCATCAACGAACAAGATCCTGCGTGAGACGCTGGTCCAAACCACCCCCCAGAGGAGTGGAGGAGCCTTGGTCTGTTGTGGGGGAAAGGGAAGAGAAAGCTTTTTTTTTGGAAATTGCTGCCCAAGTGCTCCCCGAAAGCTCATGGGGGACAGCAGGCTGCCGCTGTCGGAGGGGACAGGACCTCAGGGGACGGACACCTTTGGGGTCATGGATGCAGATGATGAAGTACATTTCTTAGGTTTTCTTGCACATCTTTTCAGTGAGGCTGTTGTTATCTCTGGCTTCCTTCTGTCCTCGCCTTGGCTGCAGCTGCTGGATTATCCACCTGGAAATTTTCTCTGCTGAAGCCTTTAATGCCAGAGGATTCAGGTTGCTCTTTGTCTGCGAGCCATCACCTCTGATTTAAAGAGTCAGGGCTGGGCTGTTTGTTTTTCAGCAAGGTTCGCTGTTGTTGATCAAGGCTAGCCTGTGTTAGCAAAACCCAGAGGTGTCGCCCAGCTGAAAGCAGTAATCCCAAACGCCCTCCTGCCGCCCCTGCTTCTTCACATCAAAGAGGTGGCAGCGGGACCCACTGCGCTGCAAGACCTGACTATCCGGTTGCGGTTGTGTTTCTTCAATCTCGCTTGCAGCAAGTGTTGCACAGACTCCGCACAGCTCAGGGTATCTTGCACCATCCAGGCTTGGCATCAGCGACAGGTCAGTGGGACATCTGTGGGGTCATTTCTCTTTTTCTTTCTGGTGCATTTCTGTACTTTGCACAAAAGGGAACTGAAATTACCCCAGTTGATGCTGCAGGAATTGTCCGGGGGCTGGAGACCGGACAGTCTCGCTGGACTGGTGTCAGTGGTAAAGCAAATGAGAACCGGGGAATGCTACAGTAAGAGGTGAATATTTTCCAGCCTTTGCATCATCACACAGGGGTTTGCATTTCCTCATTAGAGGTGCTGAGAAGGCCTCTCCTCCAGAGAGGAAAATCTTGAATTTGAGGGAGAGGGGGTTTTAAAATCAATACATCTAGCCCAACAAGATCTGCCCCTTGCTGGACACGGAGAGGCTCACGAGCACCGCAGCGCCGGTCCGAAACAGCCTGCTGCTTCCGTGCTGGGTCTTGTTTCTTCATTGCCTGAAAATTGCCTGTGTGCTGGGAACTGAAGAGAAACTGCCTGATTTATTCCCAACGTGCTTGAGCGCGTCAGCGCCCCGGCTGCCTGCTCCCATGCTCCCGGTGACTCCGGCGCGTGTGGGCGACGTTTCCTCCC